CCAGGGCTCTGGGGTGCCATCAGCCTGCCTTCCGCACTCTGCTGTCAGCTCTCTCTGGCCAGATCAGCAGGACCCTTCACCCATCAGCCACCTTTCAGCTTTTAAAACCCAGCTGCATCCCTCCTTCTCTGCCTTCTAGTCGCCTATTCTGTCCTTGCGTGTTTATGCCCTTTTCTGTTTTAATCCGTTTCCCACCCCGTTAGTGGGTTTTCTGAAAGAAGCAGAGGTTTACACTGTGGCAACACTCCCGATAGCTGGACCCCTGAGTCCTCAACAGCAGAACCCTGATTTTGTCTTGGGGCGGGAGGTGATAGGTCCAGCCCCAGGGAGAGATTAAGATTGGGCTAAACCAGTCACGCTACCTCACTACTCTTTGCTATAACTCATTTTTCACGCCTCCTTTGCAGCATAGAGCGGACATATGATCCGTTTGGTCAATGATATGTGAAGGGAAATGCTTCCAAGGAGATCACGGGAAAGATTTCCTTCCCAGATTAAAAGAGCTCAAGGAGAAAAAAATTTTTTTTTTACCCACCACCCAACACTTTCTTCCTGTTTTGAACTTCATTAAGGATGTGATGCTTGGGGCTGTGGCAACTATGTTTTGACTGTGAGGCAACAAGGAAAATGACAAAAAGCCCACACACAGGATAGCAGAATGGGAAGGTTGGAAGTGGCTGGATATGGGATGACATTGTTCAGATGCTTCCTTGGCTTTGGAATTGTCTAGTCCCTGAAACTGTCTACCTCCAGACTTTTTGTTTGTGAAATAATTAATTGCCTTTATGTTTAATGCACTGTTAATGGGGCATTCCCAACCAGCACACTTGTGTTTCGTCTACCTTATTTTGGCCCTGGAGTTTCCACCCAAAATTCCAGATGGTAGGACCATTCCTTATTTCCAGGCGTGGTGGAGACCCCCGTGCCCCACCTCCCCTCCTTGGGAGCGGAGGGAGAGCAGCCTGCTGAATCTGCTTGGGTCCTTTGCAGGGTGAATGAGATGTAAAGAAACACACATCTTGGCGGAAACGTTGGCATTTACTCAATTTAAAACAGGCACAACATTTGCTTCTATTTTGGGGCTTAGATTCTTTGATGCTGTGTCAACTCTCAGAGTTTCACAGCATTTAGGGGATTTTTGACTGTGCCGGTTAGAAAGGGTTAGATGCAAGCAACAGAACAGTCATAGTGACTAATACTTGTACGGTGAGCGTAACTTGCCAGATCCTATAATAAGCATTTCACTTACACGAACTCATTTAATCTTTACCACAACTCTATGAAGCTGATACTATCGTTCTCTCCATTCTCCATGGAGGGAAACTGAGGCACAGAGCTAGTACGCGACACAACTGAAACGTGAGGCCAGAGCCTTGTCTGCCAGTTATCAGTGGCTTCAGCCATAAGGACACCTACCATCCACTTAAAAGGAAGTTTAGTGTAGTCAGCCTAGGAGTCCTCCAACCTTGACCTTCCCCATCTTCAGCACGCTGGCTTTTTGCCACCTCATGGTTATAAGATGGCAGCTGGGGTAGAGTATCCCTTTTTCCCATGGGTGTGTCCAAGGGGAAAAGGTAGGGACAGAGGCAGTACTGCCAACTCCTTAGGGGGAGAAAAGTCTCCCTGGAGCAGTAGTCTCTCAGACTTCCTGTTGTCTCATTGGCTGAACGGGGTCACATGCTCACCGTGGACCAATCCCTGGCAGACTGGAATGGGTGCGCCATGACTGGTTTGACCAATCACATTCATCCGCTGGGCTGGGCCGAGTATGGTTGGCACCAATCATGGTTCAGTCAACAAAGAAGATGGGCACAGGTGTTGGGCAGGCGGCAGGTGCCATCTGTCCCGCCCCTGACATTTACTGAGCACGGACCGTGAGCCGGGCTCTGTCCTAAGCTCTTTACGTGTATTATCTCAAAGTCCTCATGCTATTATCATCCCTGTCCATGACGAACAGTTAGAAGCCCAGAGAACTTAAACGACTTGCCCAAGATCACTCAGCGAGGTGAGTGGTGCAGGCAGGAACCTGGGTTCAAGTGCGAGCCCCTTAGAGACCCGCCCTCAGCCCCCCAGAGGGAGTTGCCGGATAAAATCCTGGGTGCCCCGCTAAGTTAGAATTTCAAGTCAACAAAGAAAATGTTTTAGTATAAGAATGTCCCAAATGTTGCCCAGGATATATTTATACTGAAAAATCATTCATCGTCTCTCTGAAATTCAAATTGAACTGGAGATCCCTTATTTTTATTTGCTAAACTTGACAGTCCTACTAGGGTCACCGGGCAGGAAACCTAAGCAGTGGTGTGGGGGGCAGAATGCTTTGTTTGCATAATAAACCCAGGGCAATATCCCTCAGTTCCACAAAGAAATAGGCGTTCTCCATTTTTCATGAACTCTGTCCCCTCTTGGATTATTACTTGTTTTCCTCTTTTTGAGAGAGATATGGGTACAGAAAAGTATGTCCCTGTCCTGAGAAAAACAACAGAGGGTGTGTTGTGATAAACGGCACCTGGCATTCAGCCTCAGGACCAGGGAGGCAGTAGGGAGAGGTGGGGAGTGTGGGGAACCGGAGAGTCCCCTTCGAACACCCCAATCAACATTCCCGGTTGATTGTTGCCAGGAAGGAAGGTGGGCCCAGCACAGTCAAATATTACCGTGTTTTAAGGGAGGTAGACATCTAAGATTTCATGTGAAATCTCTTGATTTGTGAACCCTGGCTCAAATTTAATCAAAATGCCCCGCGGGCCAAAGGAAGCACATTTGCAGGCTTGTGGCCAGCCAGGGGAAAACCTCTGCTGTTTAGTTTCGCAAGATGGGACTGCGACTGCAGCAAAGTTGGGAGCAGAGCAGAGGCTGGGCTGGGGACTGGAGCATGCTGGGGGCCAGGAATTGCAGCCAGACCCGGGTTCAGTTCTCTTCTCTGCCAGATAACTGCTGTGTGATGGTGGCTGGGTTGCACAGCTTCTCTGTTTTGTAAACAGAGTATGGAATTGTATCCATCTTACTGTGAGGCTTCCACTGAACGAGCTGATGTAGGGAAGGTCCCTGGCACACAGCGGCTGTCCAACAAACACTGATCCCCACCCCCACGCTGTCCAGGAAGGGTTCAGGCTTAGAAGTCGTCAATTTGAGTATTGCTTTCCAAGCTCTTTTTCCTCCCTCCCCTCCTCTCTTCCTCCTTCTTGCGCTTCTGTTTTTCCCTCCTCCTCCCACTCCTCCTTCCCTTCTTCTCCTTCTTTTTCTTCTTTAACCAAGTGGCGTATTTAGGACCAGGTGTCAGGAGACCTGGGACCAGGCCCTGGCCCCATTCCAGTCCAGGGTGAGACTCTGGGGAAGGGTGTCCTTCTCCTGGGCGCTTAGTTTCTCCCTCTGTGAAGTGGGCAGGTCTGATTGAAGACGTAGGTGTCTGGGTGCCGCCCGGGTCCTACGATTCCGCGGATCCTTCAAGGGGGTGGGGGCGGGGCTGGCGGCCTCGGCGGTGACGGGCGGGGTGGCTGGGGCAGGAGGCGTGAGTCAGGGTGTGGTTTCGGGGCTGAGGAGCCAGAAGAGAACATCCCGGCACAGAGCACCCACAGGAAGGCAGAGGCCCGAGTCATCAGCGAGCTTGTAAACACCCTCCGAGGAGCTCTGGGTCCCGGCTTGTTTTGAATCAGCTGCAGGCCCCTCCCAGGGATTTGGGGTCAAATAAATCATCCCGTCCAGAACATGGAATCCCTGAGCTCCTCCTCCCAGGCTTGCTGTTATCTGACTTCTGCCCACCTCTCCAGGGCCGTCTCCAGATATCTCCCCTTCATCCTCCTCAACTCTGGCCAGGCCGGAGCCCGGAGAGTTTCTAGAACATGCAATTCTCTTCCTTCCTTTGCACAAGCTGGAATGTTCTCTCCTCCTTTCTAGACCTCACCAAGGTAATGCATCCTTAGTGTTCAAATTTCAGCTCAGGTATCGCCTCCAGCGGGAAGTCCCCTGTGATCCCCGGGTGGACTCGGGCCCTCTTGTGGGCCTGTTTACCTCCCTCCAAATCCCCTGCGACCACCTGTGGGCTGCAGTGATCCGCTTCTGTGATGGCTCCTCTGTCTCCCCTTTTCCTGAGGGCGGGGAGGGGACGGGTCCTTTCTGCTGCTGTAACCCAGTACCTGGCACAGAACCAGACACATAGCAGGTCAGCTGTTAATAGTTATTCGAGGCTAATGAATGAATGAAGCTCTCAGGAGGGTTCCTGTAAATCCCCTGGGGCTCAGGGAGCTCGGCCTTCTCACGATCAGTGACATCACATCAGGTCAGCCCTCCAATAGCGCCTCCCTGCACTCAGGGAAGAAAGTCCCAAACTCCTTCCTGGGCCTTACTGTTTTTCCCAGAATCTAGCCCTGCCCACCTCTCTGACCTTGTTTCCTTCCGGCTGTGCCCCCCACCCCATCCCTGTCCCAGCTCTAGCCACGCTGGCCATCTTTTTGTTTCTTCACCATACCAGGCTTGTTTCTGCCTCAGAGCAACATGCTTTCTGTTCCTCATGCTTGTCCCTCAGGCCATATCATCATTTAGATCTTGGCTATGTTATCTCCTCGTCTTCATTCTCCTCCAGATTATCCTGTTTTGTTCCTTCACAGGATGTATCACTATTTGAAACTATCTTGTTGATTTACAGATATTTGATTGACTTTTTGCTGAGTTCATGACCATGCACAATGGACACAGCTCTTCCTCGCTTCCCTTGCAGCTAGGCGCAGCCATGGGCTTGAGCTCTGGCCAAGGGGTTGAAATTAGGAGTTGTGTGGCAGTTTCTGGAATCTGTCCTAGAGATTCAGTTGGTCTCTGTCCTTTGCTCCTCCTCCTTCCTTCTCCAACCTGCCATCTGGAAGGCAGACGAGAAGGCTGGTGCAGTGGCCTTCATCTTGGATCGTGAAAAAGAGGGTTACTTCTAGAGATGGGAGACTGGTGTGCAGGAAGGAGCCTGAGACACTAAGGGCTTCCTGGAGTTGCCAAACTCATCCCAAACTGCCTACATCTGGACTTCATTCGCACGGGAGAAAAATAAACTCCTCTTTTGTTTATTGTCGAGTTTTTCCAATTAAGTTTATTATACTTATTATGACTACATTTGTATGCCCCGAGCGGTATAATCTGATATAACATGTCAGCTAGAATACATACTGGGTCTTTTTTATTTTAAAATATAGTCTGTAGGGCTTTATCAACTCTGCCCAGAATTTTAGATGGAGTTATCAGAGGAGCCCTGGGCCAGAGAGGGGAGGCCACTTGTCTGAGGCCACACAGCAGGGCAGGAGCAAAGCTGGGGTTTGACCCCAGGGGCCTGGATCCTAAGCCCTCATCCTTGTTTCTTAGAAGTTTCCAGCTTGAGGTATTGATGGACTTCCTCCAGGCTCAGCCAGGACATGGGGCACGGTGATCTATACCTACTCTGCCTCTTTGGCCAAGACAGTCTTATTTCCCAGGGCCCCCCAGCATGCTGGAAATGTAAAAGAAGATTCCAGCTGTGGGGTCTGGCAAGGGTTGAATCCGATCTCTGGGCTCGGCCACTGGCCAGCTGTGCATTTGGGGAAGGCCCCAACCTCTCTGCTTCAGTTTCCTTGTCTAGGAACAGCCCTGGGCAGGTCAGTTGGCCTGCGGGTTCCCTAAGGTGCTGTGTTTAGAATGTCTGACACCTCAAGAAGGATGGGCACTACCCCCACAAAGTGAAAATTTCTGGAACGCAGGCAGTGTCATTGGTGTTAGGAAGAGGTGGCCTACTTAGTGCAAACTTTGGAGTCAGTTCTGGGTTCGAATCCTGGATCTACAGTTAGCAACGGTGTGACCCCGAGTTAGTGGCTTCCCCTGTGGTTTTCAGTCACCTTCCTGGGTCGAATGGCGATCCGTGTGTGTGCTCGTTCATTCGGCACATACGCCCTGAGCTCTCCTTCACGCCGGACTGTCTCTAGATGCTGGAGACTCACAGGGAACCAGGTGCACGACGTCATTCCTCTCCTGGCGCCAGACAATAAAGAAACAGACAAAGGTGTCACATGCCTGGTGACAGTAAGACAGACACAGCAAACCGAAGCAGGGTGGGGGCACCGGAGTAATGGGAGGGGCTCCCTGAGGCGGGTGGTCAAGGACACCGCCCTGAGGAGGGGACATCAGGGCATGAGGTTCTGGGGCAGCTAAGCCTGGGCCCTCTCATTCCCCCGGAACGACTCCGGGCTGCCTCCGGCTGAATTCTTCCGCAGAGCAGGGACCGCGTGGTGGCCAGGTCTGTCCTGGGCACCGGCCCGGGGACGGCTGAGGGAGGCAGCCACTGCTCTCCGTCCTCCACCATTTCCTGCCTGGACTATTGTAGTAGCCCCTCCCACCGGGTCCCCTGCTCCCGCCTGGCCCTCCTACGGTCTGTCCTCCCCATACCATCTCTCTTAGTCCCTCCTGCTGCCAAAACAAATCACTGCAAACTTATGGCTTAAAGCAACACTCATTTACTCTCGCAGTTTCGGAGGTCGGAAGCCAAGGTGTTGGCAGGGCTGCCTCCAGAGGCTCCAGGAGAAAAGCAGTTTCCTTGTCCGTTTCAGCTTCTAGTGGCCGCCCGCGTCCCGTGGCTTACGGCCCCTTCCTCCTCTTTCAAGGCCCGTCACCAGTCTCTGCTTCTGTCATTTTCTCTTCTCTCCACCTTCTCCTCTTCCGTAGTCAGCTCTCACTCTGCACCTGTCTTATAAGGACTCCTGTGATGACATTGGGGCCACCGGGATAATCCAGGGTAACCTTCCCATTTTAAGACACTTAACCAAATCACAGCTGCAAAGTTCTTTTGCCATATTAAGGAACGTTCACAGATTCTAGGGATTGAGACATGGACATCTTCAGAGGGGGGCACCGTTCAGCTAACCAAAGCATCCAAAGGGATCCTATTAGAACCTAAATCAGACCTGCTGCCTCCTCTGCTCAAAATCGCACCACGGCTCCCACCTGCCCATGCAAAGCCCTTTCAGTGGTCACAGGTGCTGCACATCTGTTCACGTGTTATTTCTTGAATCTCATCTCCTTCTCCTCTCCTCCTCCCTCATTTGACTGCAGTCACTGGCCTCCTAGCTGTACTTAACATTCCAGGCAAGCGCCTGCCTCAGGGCCTTTGCACATGCCATTCCTCCACGTGGAACTTTTCATTCCTGCCTCTTTCCAAGGCTGGTCCCTTCTCATCCTTCTAGCCCCATCTCCTCAGAGAGGTCCTGTTGGACACCACCCTCTCTAGAGTGGCCTTTCCTCCTCCCCACAGTGGCATTTAACACAGTCTGAAATGACCTTGATTGTGTATTTGTTTTCTTGTTTATTGTCTGCCTTTCCCACTAGGCTATCAACTGCAAAGACTCAGCAGGGGCTGGGTCTGTCTGCTTCTCCGCTGGGTCTCTAGTACCAAGTATAGGGCCTGGTACACAGTAGGTGCTCAGAATGTACCTGCTCCATGAATCCATGTGCGGTCAATGTCGATGTCCCTCAGTGCTGCTGTGAATAACACACATGTTCATTTCGGGGCAGCCCCACATTCCTAGTGACGTTTTGGCTCGATCTCGTTTCTCAGTGATTGAAGCGCTGTCTTCACAGGTGGAAAGGAGGCGGAGCATCGTCCATACCGAGCAAGCGAGGGCCCGGGACGGAGGAGGAGTCCCTTAAGGTGGGAGCTCTCAGGATTGGCAGTGGGGTCTCGTGATGACAAGCAGGGGCTGAAGGGGGCTTCTTGGGCAAGGGGCAGCCCCTCCCCGTGCCTCAGTTTCCACGTCTATGAAATGGAGATCATAAGAGAACTTGCATCATAGCGGGGTTCTCCACCTTGGTGCTGTCGATAACTCTCCGCTGTGGGGCTGTCCCGTGCGGCATCCCTGCTCCTCAGCCGTGACACCCGAAAGTGTCTGCAGATGTAGCCTGATGCCTCCTGCGGGGCAAAATCACCCCCGGGTGAGAACCGCTGCCCGCGGCATTACCCTGGCGGTTGAAGGAGTTGCTCGGGAAATCGCGGCTGCTCTCCGGTTAAGTGGTAACTGGCCCTGCCCCTCCTTAGCAGGTGGCCTTGGGCAAGTGACTCCAGCTCTCTGAGCCTCAGTGTCTTCATCTATAAAATGGAATAATAACAGCAGTTACCCTCTTGCGGCTGTCGGGAGGATCAAGTACATTAACCCTGTGACGTTCTCAGGACCGGGCCTGGCCCACAGTAAGTGCGTGATAAATGGGAATTCTGAGGGTGAGGATGACAGTGATGAAGGCTTCTGGGAAAAGTTGGAGTGAGAGAAAGGGGTCTTTGCATCTTCACCTTTCCAAGTGCTACCTGTGGTCTCTGGAGGTGGGCCCTGCACTAATGGAGGGCACGTGGGCACAGCTGTCCCCACCCAGGAGGGCAGCTGGCTCAGTCCCTCAGCCCTGCCAGGCCATTTAATAATTAAGCTGGACAAGGAGTGATACGGCCGGAAGGCCAGACGTGACCACGGCCTGGCCTTGCTTGGCTTTGGTGACGCGATGGCCCTGGGATCATGGCCTTCTTGAGCCCATAAACAGGGGGTTGGGCCCCAAGACAGGCAAGGCCAGGCCAAGGTCTGTGCTGGTGGCCTCATGCTGGAGTCACGCGGGGAGGGGGACGGGAAAGGGGGTGCTCCAATTGTGCAGGGAAGAGGGTGCTATGGAGGGAGAGTTGCTCTGCATGGGGGCCACTCCCACCCCGCCCTCACTCTGGGCATCTCGTTTCTCTTCCTGGTGCCCTGTTAACTTCCCCTCCGGTTCACGGAGCACTGGCCACGGGCGGGGCAGGGCTCCGCCACAGCGCTTGACACAGATGGACACCTGCCCCTGCCCACCCATGGCGGGGCTGGCCCCTCCCTGGATGAGCGAGGCCTGTTTCTGTGACTCCATCACCTGGGTGAGGGGCAGAGCCGGATCCCAGCCCCCAGCCCAGGTCTGGGGTCTCGGGAGCACCCGCACCCAGCCTGCATCCCTCCCTGCGACCTCTCCCCTCTCCCCCTCCCCCTGGACCCCATCCTCTCTCTCTCTCTGAACATCGTCCTAGTTGTGTTTCTCTCTCTCTCTGTCTCTTATTTTCTGTCTCAGTTTCTCTTCTTCACTTTCTCGGTCTCCCTCCCGTCCTCTGCTCCCTGCCCTGCCGTCTCTCCCTCTCTGTCTCCCTCTGCCTGCTTCTCCACCTCCTGCCCATCCTTTGGAGGCTGCTTTTGTGTCCTTGGTCTGGGTTGGGGACCGTGCCCCGCCCCGCCCTGCCTTGCCGCCGCTCTCTGCAGTCAGCCCTTGCCCCAGCGCCAGCACATTATGTCCCTGGTCAGACCCTGACGTCAGGCGGGGCCTGGCAGGCGGCCACGGGACGCTGCCGGGCAGGCGGGAGGGAGCGCTGGGCTTCCCGGTCCCCACTGCAGTGGCCGCCTGCCTGCCGCCGGGCCTGGCCTCACAGCGGGGCTTTGGATCTCCCTGCTTGGCTTCGGCTGGCAGGAGAGTGGAGGGCAGGCACTCGCTCACTCGGTGGTCACCCTGCCTGCGAGCGTGGGGCTGCAGCCCCTCCACTCACCTTTCCCCTTCCCCGTGGCCACAAGAGACTCGGTCCCAGAGGGTAGACAGTACAGCATGCGGCCAAGTCCTGGCTGTGTGACCTGGGACAAGTCACCCAGCCTCTCTGAGCCTCGTCTCTGTATAAAATAAGGCCACCAAGGCACCAACCTCTCAGGTCTGCAGGGAGGGTCAACCGGAAAGGTGGCTTACAGCATAGCAGGGGAGCCGGCCCACCACCGCGGGCGCTCAGTCACTGCAGAGTCTGAACAAGCAGTTTTCCTGGAGGGGAGGCTGGCAGAAGTGGGGGTGGGGGTCCGGGTGTCCCAGTGACAGGGGGGCCTGGCTGCTGTGCCATGGGGGACAGCAAGGCAGGAGAGCCCCACCCAGAATACAAACAGTGCCCTGCGGAGAAACCCTCCCCAAGCCTGGCTGCTCTCAGGCCCCATCAGAGCTTGAATAAGTGGTTAAAAAAAATGCAATATTTCTTGTTTGGTTTGTTTGTTTTTCCCCCTAATTTTCAAAGCAATGTCATTTCCTTAAAGGACATTGGGAGGGCACCCAAGCTTCCTGTTTAAAAACAGACTTTAGGATCAGACAGATGTGGGGCAAATCCAGCTATGTGGCCTGGGGCTAGTGGCTTCACCCTCTGAGCCTCAGTTTCCTCATCTGTCAAATGGAAATAACGAATGAGAGGGTTGTTGTGAGGATGAAGCAAAAACACGTTTGTAAAGCACCCAGGACGGGATCTTCCATGGTAAGTGCTCCATATACAGTATCCTTTTTAACTTTTTAAAATTCTTCTTATTTTAAATATAGAAGATATAGAAAAGTACAAAGAAAAAAACAAAAGGTTACCCAGAGAGAATCACTCTAAGATGTTGGTGGGAATTCCATCCAGCGAGCATATTTATATTGAGATCCTACTGTTGCCTGTGTTCTCATTTTTCGTGGAAAGAAAACTTGACTTGAAGTTTCATTTTAAAATATCTTTGCTTATTATCATTTTCTGAATACATACGCATTCAAAGGGTTCAAAAGGCGTCCGGTGAGAATCGAGGTTCCCTTCTACCCTCACCTCTGGAAGCAAATACAGTCACCGGTTTCTTATGTGTCCTTCCTTCCCTGGTTTTAAGTCATCTTCGGACATAATGATTTCCAACCACCCCCACACGCACTCATTTTGTTGCTTTTTAAAATTCACTCGATCAGAAAGCATGACATTATAAACAAATCAGAACCTACAGACAATCCAAAGAAAGGGGAACAAAAGGAAAGTGGAGTCCCCTGAAGCCTTTACGCCTTTCACATTTTGGAGCACATCCTGTGGGCTTTTCGCAACACTTGATGTATGTGCACATTCTTGCAGCACGAGGTGTCTGTCCTTAGCACCGATCAAAGTTTGAGATGACACATTTGTGTACTGATCTGATCATTATCTGCCCTCCCCACTGTGCGGTGAGTCCCAGGAGGCAGGGACAGCCGTGTCTGCGTCTTCCATACCCGGCGGTGTGCGGGCACATGGTGGATCCATAATGAATATTTTCTAAACGAATGAGTGAATTTTCAAAAGGGATTATACCATATATAATACTACCCTGTGACCTATTTTTTTTTTTTTTTCGCTTAACATGTCGGGTACATCTTTCCACATCTCTGCAGCAAATCTCCGTTTTCCATGTCTGCACAGAGTCACCACAATAAACATCTTTTTGATGTTGGCCAGAAGCTTCTTCTACCCCCAACTGGGAAGCTCTTTTTCAAACTCAGATCTGTTAACAAATGCCATATGATCCACCCGCGCCCCAGCCCTTTGGCCGATTACTTTCAGCCTGACACTTCACTGGTTACATGGGCCCATTGTTTTCTGGGACAAGTCAAGATTTACTGTCTGTTCCTGACATCATGTTTTTCCAGAGAAGCTTAAGAGTGAAGAACTCGGCCCTCCCCACCCGCTGTTTCCGCCAGTTAAGAGTTCTGTAGATTTGCTGAAGTTGGGAAACTTGGTGTAACCCTTGCCTCCCTGGCAACCTCACCCCGAGAAGCACACGCCAAGCTCGTTCCTACCTCAGGGCCTTTGCACTGCCTGTTCCCTGCAACTGGAATGTACTTCCCTTGGATATTTGCTCAGCTCTTCAGGTTTCTGCTCAAATGTTACCTTCTCAGAGAGGCCTCCAAGGCTGGGCGTGGTGGCTCACGCCAGTAATGCTAGTGCTCTGGGAGGCCAAGGTGGGAGGATCGCTTGAGGTCAGGAGTTCCAGATCAGGGAAGCCTCCTCAACTATCTTTCTAAATTAGCACCCGAAGTCACTTATCCAGTTTCACACTTATTCACAAGACATTTGCCACTACCTGGCATTGTGTTATACCATGTTGTATTGTATTATGTTATATTAATATGTTTGGTTTTCTTATTTATTATCTGTCTCCTCCACTATGAGGGCAGGGACTTGGGCCTCTGTTTTCTTTTCTTTTTTTCTTTTTTTTTTTTTTTTGAGACAGAATCTCACTCTGTTGTCCAGGCTAGAGTCCCGTGGCGTCACCCTTGCTCCCAGCAACCTCCAGCTCCTGGGCTCAGACGATCTTCCTGCCTCAGCATCCAGAGTAGCTGGGACTACAGGCACGTGCCACCAAGTCCAGCTAATTTTTTCTATTTTTCTGTAGAGACGGAGTCTCCCTCTTCCTCAGCCTGGTCTTGAACTCCTGAGCTCAAACGATCTTCCCGCCTCGGCCTCCCACAGTGCTAGGATTACAGGCGTGAGCCACCGCGCCCGGCCAGGGCCTCTGTTTTCTTTCCCACAGTAATCCCCAGCACCTAAAATAGGGCCTGGAGCCCTGTAGGTGCGCACGAAATAGTGGTTGAATCAATAAACATTAACTCCAGGATTCCAAGGTTTCTCCCAAGGCTGAGAGCCAAACGTCATCGTTCATTCATTCAGCATTTATTACTGAGCATCTGCTGTGTCCCAGGGCCTGTCCAACAGTGGGTGGCAGGCACGGCCTCCTCCTGAAGGATGTGGGCCAGTGGTCATGGAGACACACCTACATCAGATAACACCATCCATGGTGACATGCAGCTCGGTGGTGGAGTGAGGACAAATCTTGGGGTGTGTGATGTGGGTCCCCATTGTAACTTAGCCCTGCAGAGCTGGGTAAACCACACGAGTGACACAGCTGGGAATGGCATTGTTGTCACCTTTGCTTTTCTCTGCTGTTCTCCCACTGTAAGTGGAGGAGAAATAAAACAGTGATGCTGGAACTCTCCTTACATCCCTCCTGCAAGCCCAGTCGGATCTTTTCTCATGGAGCCCTGCTTTCCGGCTGCCTCACCCTTGCTTACACTCTGCAGGGAATTTCCTGCCTTCGTATCCCGAACCCCTCCAAAGGAGGTGCCAGAAAACTGGCTTTCCCAGCCTCGCTTGCAGCTTGGGTGCAGGCATGTGACTGGAACATTCAGTTAGAGGAAAAAAAGAAGAAAAGAGAGGTGCGGGAGAGAATCTGGTCCCAGAGGATGTGGCGGAAGGGGTCCTTGCGTAGAATGCAGGCCTACACCCAGTAGGGCTCACTGGGGCTGCTCGCCCCAAAACTCGGGCCTTGTTCATGGCTGTGAAGCCTCCAGTCCTGGCCCTGGGACCCCCCAAGGGTTCCGTGAACCACTCCATAACCTTTAAAAAACTCCTTTTCTGGGTAAACTACCCAGAGTGGTGGATTCTGTTGCTTGCAACTAAGATCCCTTGACTGACAGTAGATCATTCTAGGCCTCCTAAGCTTCATGGTTACGACTTTTCATCAATGTCTTTTATTCTGGAACTATCAAAAATGACTATCTCAGACTCATTTTTGGTTGCTAGAGGGAATGACTTTGAACGTTGGAATCTTTACCCTGGCCCCAAATGGATCCTCATGTGTCCTGCTGGGGGAGGGGATACATGTCAGCTGAACCATTTTGGAAGGTAGTTTGGTTATAGGTATTAGCAGGTTTAAGAATGTTCATGAAATAGAAGATTGTGTCTCTCTTATATAAAAGGCATGTGGAGGTGGCAGCCCAAGGCCAGCAGGGTGGCTCCACAAATTCATCGGGGACTCAGGTTCTGTTCTCCTGTTGTTCCACCTTGGCCCAGAGGGCCACTCAGGTTCTGGCCATCCCGTCTGCACTTCGCCCGGCCAACTTGGAAGTTACTTATATCCCATTGGCCAGAACTTAAGTCACATGGACACCTAGCTGCAAGAGAGGCTGGGAAATACAGTTTTTTTCCTGGGCCATATGCCCAGCAAACACTTGCAATTTCTACTGCCAAGGAAGAGGGAGAGATCAGAGAATTAAGGGGAAACATCGGTCCTGTCACAATAGGCAAATATTAAAAATAATATCAAAGAAAACTTTGTAATTATATGAAAAACATGATTTTGTACAATTTGGGAACAGCAAGGTTTGAAATTGTGTACAGAATGTGACTGCAACTTTGTAATAAAATTTCAAAAGGGAGAAAGCCACTCAAAGAACAAAACTGCTAGAAAATTGGTCTTTGTGGGTGATCCAATAAAAATTTTTATTTTTTCTTTCTATTCTCTATTTTTCAAATTTTCAACAATTGAGCAAACTTAACTTCCCGAAAAAGAATCCCTATGCAGATTACATAATCCACTTGAGCTACAGTGTGTGTTGCGCAAGTTCTGTCCTCAAATGTGCCAAGGCAGCCAGATAGGAAAAGAAGAAATGGAGTGATTTCTAGTCGTAGACGACATTATCGTGAATGGAGAAAAGTCTAAGGTACTCACAAAAAGCAACGAGGAAAAGTGGGACCTGGGGCTTATTACAGGCTCAAGTCACAGTGATGCTGAAATACGAGCTCCGTGACCTTGGGCAAACCGCGAACCTCTCCACGTCTGCCTCTGTGCAACGGGATGGCTAGCAGCGCCCATCGCCTAGGGCTGTGACCAGGGCTCACAGGAGGTGGTTCGTGGAAACAGAACTTCAGCTGAGCATGACATGAGCTGCAGCTAGGAGTCCACAGAAGCAAGGAAGGTGCCAAGGCAGGAGGTGGGGCCTGGTCTGAGCCTGAAGGGTGATGTGGGGTCTGCTCAGTTAGCACCCCTCCTCTGGCTCCCTGCAGAACACGAGGGCCAGACCCAGGGGCCCCCAGGAGACCCCTCCCGCCCAGCCGGCCGTTTAGGGGGTCGAGAAGGGAGGAGAAGGACAAAGCAGCCAGGACTCAAGCCCTGTTTCAGCGCAAGGCCCTGGGAAGCTGCCTGGCCGAACCTTGGAGACTGTCACAGTGACCAAGGTCCATCGGTGACATTGAGGTCGTTCGTGCAAACGTGTGTTCCATTTCTCTAGGCAGTCTCGTTCACAGAAAAAAAACAACTCCACTGACATGACTAACGGTGGGGTGCAGAGGGGGCGGCTGAGATTGCCTCCCATGCACGGCGCCCTGGTCACTGGTGCTGGTGGGAGTGGAGTTAGAGGGGAGAGGTCGGAGACGGTGTCAGCGGCCAGACCTTGCAGTGCCTAGTAGGCCTCGGCAAGGACTCGGGGTTTGATCTGAAGGGCAATAGAGAGCATGTGAACTGAGTTCAAATGGGTTAAAATTCATGACTTAAAATCTCCAGATGACTGGTGACTCATTCATCGGCTTGTTCATTCATTCATTCAACCAGTATTTGAGCGCCTACTCTGTGCCAGGCACTGTTCCAGGCGATGGGGAAACAAAGATGAACATCACAGGCACAGACCCTGCCTTCCTGGGGCCAGAAGGGACGCAGACCCTAAATCGGATAATCAGACGATGAAATGCAAACGGCGATAAGCCAAGCCGGGGGGATTGTCAGACACATAAGCTGCTCGTTTCCTGCTTGACTCAGCCGGTATTTACTGAGCACCCACGTTTACTGTGCCGGGCACTGTGCTGAGCGCAGGACAGACCCAGGCCCTGCGCCTCGACAGGTGCAGGAGGCAAACCTACCAATGGACCACAGGGTCGTGAGACAGGTGTGGTCAGGGTATGCAGAGGAGCGGGCTTCCTGGAGGAGGGGGCAAGGCGGAGGCAGTTAGGTGAGGGACTGTGCGTGGAGGTGAGGGAGAGAGGCAGGTGGGGGTGTCTCTGGTGGCCTGCTGGGCTGGCGGGGAGGAGGGTTGTTGGGAGAAGATGCTATCGCCTTGGGAGAAGGTCGAGACCCATTGGAAGGAGACCCAAGGTGGCAGACACTGCCCACGAGGTGGCTTCAGAGGGCGGAGGGTGTCTGCAGGGCTCTCTCTGTCTCTCCATCTGTGTGTGTCTCTCTCTTTGTCTCTGTCTCCCCCTCTCTGTCCGTCTCCTCTCTCTGTCTCTCTCCGTATCTGTCTCTGTCTCCCTCTGTTAGCATCTGACGGTCTCTCGGATGCTCTCACTGTCCCTCTCAGCCTCTCCGTCTCTCATTCTCTGACTCTCTTGTCCCCGCTCTTGTTGTCTTCGCGAGATGTCAGTAAGAGACAAGGATACCGGGAAAACCCCAGGCGGGTGGGCAGAAAGCAAGGTCAGGGCACAAGGACAGCTGAGCGCAGGGACAGGCAGTGACTGAATGTTCTGTTTTGGAAAGACAGCTCCGGTCAGGGGCGAAGGTGGCTGACCACGAAACCCGATAACCTGGCCGAACCCCGCTCCAGCCAGGCCTCTGGCCGGCTGCCCGCAACCTGGCGGATGCGGCACAGGATTTTCCCGGCGGGAGGGGGAGACGGGGAGAAATGGCCCCTGGTAGCTTCTCCTCTGTCGAGTGGGACCGACAGGAAGGTGTGGAAATGAGCGAATTCTCAGGGGAGACCTCAGAGCGGTTGAGAGCAGGAAAGCCCCACTTACTGCTCCACGCCTTCCAGGCTTCCACGATTCAGTAAGCGCTTACTGTGTGCCTGGCTCTGTGCCATGTGTGTCATTACTAACCCTCTCAAGTAGGGCATCATGATTTAAGACCAAGGACTCTGGAGCCAGACCGCCTGGGTTTGAATCCTGGCTTTGCACATGCCGACTGATCTTGCATACGCTACCTAACCTCTTTGTGTGTAAAACAGTAAGAAAACATCGCCTCTCTCATCCACTTGAGGTAAAAATTATTGCTAGTCAATGCGTGTCAAGTGCGGGGGATAATGCGTGGCACATAGTAAGTGCTCAGCAAAATGCGGGCTATTGTTATTCCAGCTTTGCGATTGAAGAGCTCATGCTGAGGAGGCAGGGGAGTCAAGTTCAAATCCTGGCTCCGTCACTTCTTAGCTGTGACCTCGGTTAAATCGCAGAACCTCTGTGGGTGTCAATTTTCTTACCTGTTAAGTGAAGACGCTCTTAGTACTCACCTTGTGGGTGACCGAGAGGGTCTGTGTCCACGTAGACGGAAAGCATGCGCCTTACTGAGGAGGAAGGTGAGTCACCAGGAGGTTCGTTTCTTCTCTGCCGTGTGTCCCGCAGGCTCTGGGCCCCTCCTATGTGCCGGGTTCGCGGAACACCTGTGACGAGCCGGGTCCCCTGCTCTTCCTGCCCTGCAAGACAGCCGAGAGCCAGCCGGAGACGGCGCGTGCCCCTCGCTGCTCTCCTTTGGCCCCGGCCACAGCCTTTGGAGGCAGACGCTGTCATCCCGTCGCGCGGAGCGGGAGGCTGAGGCCCAGGGGAGCGAAGCGGCCGCCCAGGCACAGGTGTGCGCACCTGCTCCTCTGCGCTGCTCCCGACCTCGACGCCTGTGACAACCCCACCACCTTCTACCCGGTCGAGTCTACTATGGCCTCGACCTGCCTCACACGCTCGGCCGTGGAGCCCCGGCCCACAGCCGGCCTCGGCAACAGCGGCGCCAGGCAGAAGCTGCAAGCCCGAGGGAACCACGCGGCTGTGCCATCCCCGAGCTCCTCTCCCCATCCTTGTCCCACGCCAGCAGCTGAAGGAAAGGACAACCTGGCCACTGGCCCCCACCACCAAGGCAGGAAGCAGGTGACAAGCACAGGCAGTGTCGAGGAGGGGACAGAACGGGGTCTGGAGCCCCAGGTTCTCACAGCTGGCTGTGTGACTTTGGACAGGGCACTGCCTCTCTCTTGGTCTCCTTATCTGTAGAATGGGTGCCATCACTGCAATACCTGCCCCTTCCGTCGGCGTGCGGGATGGAGAAAGCCGAGTGCAGCGCGAGGCCCAGGACAGGTCCCCAGAAAATGGCAACTGTTCCTATTGTGCAGAAGGGGCCGCCGCAGCCCTCTCCCCCGACTCCAGCCCCTCAAGCCCGATTTGGTGCCTCGTGGCCAATGGTGAGCCGCTCAGGCGACAGTGCAGCAGTTAAGAGCACGAGCCCTGGGCCTGGCCCCTGGGTCAAATCCCACCCGTGCCGCTTGCTGGCTGCGCGGTCCGGGGTAAGCGACTTAATCTCTGTGGTCCTCAGTTTCTCCATCCCTTAAACGGAGGCGCTCATGGCCCTCTGCTCTTCGATTGTCGTGATGACCAGGTGACTTAGCGAACGTAAAGGGAGGATCTTGCCAGGCACACGAGAACCACTAGAGAAGCATTTGCTGCTCTTCAGGCATCGAAGAGAAGAAGGGACCTGGTAGCTCCTGTACCATTTACAAGGGACTCTGGGCCAGGGGTGGGGTGGGGAGCTGGAGAGGAATCCTGAGCTGACCCAGCAGGAATTTGGGGAAGCAAAGCCCGCCACACCAGGGATGGCTTTCGTACTGGTCCCGTGTGGCCCCGGGACGGGCCGTCCCACGCCCCTCCCTCCGTGGAGCCCAGCGTGGTGCTTGCGCGTCTCTGAAAGGCAGAAGTTCCGTCTTTCCAGTAGCTCAGCCTCAAACTTTGGAGTCATCCTTGGCTTTGCAGTTTCTGTCACATTTGGTCCAGCACCATGTCCTGTCAGTTCCACCTTCAGAACAGAGCCGGTCCACGATCTTTGAGCCTCCGCACCCCCACAGCCGCCCCCCCGGGCCCATTCGCCATCATCTTTTGCTTGGACCACTGCAGTCACCTGCCCCTGGTTGTCCTCCTCCCTCGTTGTCCCTGACGGTCCATTCTCCACACCCAGCCACAGGGATTATTTCAGACCCTAAGTCAGACCATACCCTCTTCTGTCCAGAACCCTCCATGGCCCCCACCTACCCCAGAGAAAAGCCCAGGTCCTTCCCACAATGTGCAAGCTCTGCAGGATCTGCCCCTTAGCTCTATGACCTCACTTCCTCCCAGGCTGCCCCTCGCTCACTCCGCTCCAGCCACACTGGGCCCTTCATGGTCATCCTCACACATGCCGGGCACTACCCAGCCTCGAGGACCTTGCACTTGCTGTTTCCTCTGCCAGGAACGCTCTTCCTTCAGAATTCCCCGTTGCCCAATCCCTCATCTCTTTCAAGTGTGTGTGCAAATATTTGCTCGGTGAGACCGTCCCTGCCCCGCCCCCCACCGCCCCATGTAGACTGGTACCTCTCTGATGCTCTCTATGCCCTTCCCGGGTTTATTTTTCTCCTCAGCACTTATTGCCATCTGAAACGTGATATATTTAACTTATCTATTAAGGATTATCCTGCCTTCCTCCCCCAACCCTGCAACGTCAGCTCTGTTCCCTGCTGTGTCCTGATGCATGTGGGTGATGGATAAACTAGTCGAATGTGTCCCCTTAGGTGCAGATGGAGGAAGAACGTGGGAGCAGGGGTGGACCGTGGGGGCGGGGTAGACCGTGGGGGGGCGGGCGTGGAAGCCGGGGCCAGGAAGGAGGCTCCTGCAGGGCCAGGTGAGAGAGGCAGGGCTGGGCCAGGGCCGGAGCAGCAAGGACACGGGGTGCGGGGAGAGCAGCGGAGGGGCTGGGGAGGAAGTCTCTGGCCTGAGCATCTGGAGGGATGGAGCTGCCGGTGACCGAGCTGCGCGGCTGGCGAGAGGAGCAGGCTGGGGACAAGTTCCATGGCAGCCACCTCTGAGTGCTTGCTGGTGCCAAACACTGCTCCAGCAGCTCGGGACCCAGCAGAGTGGGACACAGAGCCCCTGACTTCTTGTCGCTTCATCTCCTGGGCTTGTGTGGCAGCTCTGCCGCCGACTTACCAGGAAACAGCCAGTGGCATCACTCCCCGAACCTCAGTTTCCCCCTCTGGGATGATGATCCCTCCCTCCCAAGGCGCCTGCAAGGCTCTGTGAGCTGATGCCTCCGCAGCGCCTGGCATCCAGTAGGCGCTCATCAGAGCCCGTTGCCTCCCCGTGCACCACGCTGGCTGTCCCCCAGGGGACCGTGCGGGGAGCGTTATTTTTAAGCATGGCTCCGGCGGGCTGGGCTGTGGCTCCGAAGGCCGCGGAAAGCCCACAGCGCTAGCGACATCCTGGCTTGCTCGACGCCGGGAGACCACAGCGTGGAAACATCAGGGGAGGCCGCCCCACGTCCGTGCCCTGCCCGGTAACGCTTTATGCGAAATTGTGTCATTTCACCAGATGCTGTTTATAAACAGCACTGACCTTTCCCAAGCAGGGCCGCGGGGGATGCGGCCGCAGCCAGTTTCCCCACCCCTCACCCCCCAGGACCTGCCGCTGACCCCTCCCGCTAGCCCACATCACACAGAGCCACGTCTGGCGCTGGCCTCTGGCCAGCCTTTGCCTGGATGTTCCAGCACCTCCCAGCACCTCGCAGCTGACCAGCCCTGAAGTATTTTTAAACCCTGGCCTCGGCCAACCTCTTTGTCACATTCCGGTCGGGGCTTGAGTTCAGTGCGTGCCCCAGTTAGGGGAGCTGGGGGTTTGGGATTTGCTGGACAACAAACGTTTAATCAAATCCCAGAACTTGTGGGCCTACTGTGTGCCAGGACCCGTAGTGTGACTTCCGGGTCTACCTCCCAGAGCTGTCTTCAAGGCGCCCACTGCCTGGTGGGACACGGTGACAGGCCCACACCATGGCAAGCGCTAAAACGGAGGCTAAGACGGCAATTGCCACTCAAATATCCACGGGACCCGGTGGGTTATGTCAGGGAACGAAGTGGCCCAGCGCGATGCTAGAGGGAGGGGTGGGGCTGCGGGAATGGGCTGAGCTCATGCCCTGTCCTGGGGGGTGGCGGCTCCCAGCTCTGGCCTCCGTTGTCACGAGGAAATTGGGCCCATTTTGCCTGGAGATTCTGATTTTCCAAGAGAAAGATTTCCAATCTAGGTTGATATAAGATTTCATGCAAAAGCAAAAAACTCTTGACTTTTAAATGTTGGCAATGAATTTCATAAAACGTTGAAAACATTCTGAGAGCCAAACGAAACCTGTCTGGGGGCTGGACTTAGCCCACAGAGTCGAGTCGAGGCAGGTTGTGCTCTCCCATGCAAACAGGCGCGTTATAAAACAGTCCACAGATACAGGCTGTGCGCCTGCCATGGGCTCCTGCTGCTGCTCCAGGCCCCAGGAAACAGCAGGGAGCAGGGCGGGCACCGTCTTCGTCCCCACACCTCGTACGCCCGGTGGGGTTGCTGGAGCAGCTCCCGCGGGCTCCGATTCTGCGAGTTAGCTGTGATGCACGGCCGTCGCTGAAGACTGAATTATAGGAACTCACGACCAAACACATTGAATAAAAACAGAGATGACAACTGCTCCAAACTCATCACTTTCTAGTCACTTTACTGTTCTCCGTGTTCTTGAAGTCATTGACATGTCGCGTGTCACATAGTACCAGTCGCCATGTCACATGGTGGAAACAGTATATAATGGCCTTCCCAATGCCACGATCGGTGAAGTCACATTGGTAGCTTGAAACTGGCCACGGTGGGAGCATTTACACCACAGAAATTGGTAAAAGTAAGAATCAGGGCTCCCCCCTTGTTGAGAACCAGTTGTTAAATATTTAGCAACAAACCAGATAAAAACGAATGTGCCGGCAGATGCGTACCGTGTCAGGTAGTGGTTACTACAGTGAAGGAAAATAAAGCGGGTAGGGGGATAGATGGTGACGGAGGGGAGCATTGGAGATGGGCAGGTCCTGGAAGGCTTCCCTGAGGAGGTGATATTTGAGCACAGACCTGAAGAAGGTGAGAGAGTGAGCCAGACAGACACCCGGCAGAAGGTTCGGGCAAAGGGAACAGCAAGTTCCATCTGGAGGTAGGGACAAGCTTGTGAGTTCAGGAACGGAGAGGAGGCAAGTGTGGCAGGAGCAGAGTGCGTGAGGGGAGACGGGGTAGAGATGAGGTTGGGGAGGTGGGCAAGGGTCAGATCATACAAGGTCTTACAGGCCACGGTGAGGAGGAGGATTTTTATTCTAAGAGGGATGGGGAATCGTGGAGGGTTTTGAGCCGCGGAGGAACATGGCTTATCTTTTAAAATATTTCCTCCATCTGTGTGGGTGAAGTGGAGCAAAGCTGGGAGCCAGGAGAGCAGGGAGGAGGAGCCGAGGGCCTCAGCCCAGGTGGGAGAGGAGGGCGGCAGCCTCGCTGTGGTGGTGGCTGTGAATGTGGCAATGAGGGCATGGATTTGGGATGTATTTGGCCATCAAGGACTTGTGACGGATGGGAGGTGTGGGGTGAGGGACAGAGGAACCAATCAGGCCACCAGGGTTTGACCCGAGTGCCTGCGTGGAGGGTGGCACCATTTCCCGAAACGGGAAGATCGGTGCGCCAGGCTGGGACGTTAGGAGGGGGAGTAAGTGGAGGGCTCTGTTCTGCGAAGTCTGGGGTCTTATGAAACCCACGTGGAGTTGTCAACTGGCCAGCTGGGCATTGCAGTCTGGGGCACAAGGTGGTTCTGGAAGCAACGTCTTCGTGTTGCAGCGGCAACCCCAAGCCAGGGCGGCCACGCTGCTGTGGGGTTGAGGGTGGGGAGGTTCCGGGAAGGCCTCACAGTGCAGGAGGAGCTGTGGAGTGTCAGAAGCACCTGGCAGGGGGACGACGGAGGAACGGCATCCCAGGAGGAGGACACCGCAGGAGCAGAGGCCTGGAAGCAGGGAAAGCATGTTCTTTCTGCAGGACGACCCTTTGCAGGGGTCCAGTGGTGGGAAAGGAGGCAAGAAAGGCAGAGGGCAGGTCACGAAAGGCTGCTTCTTTCAGCCAAAGGAGGCTGCTGTGTACCCTCAGGGCACTGGGTTGACTGCAGGCAGGCAGAGGCCAGAAGGGCACTTAGGTGAGCAAATGTCCTGTGGACTCTGGCCCTGGGCTCCCCTACCCCCACCCCCGCACACACAGCAAGACACCCTCCGCGTCGCCCAGAGCCTCTGCCAACCCAGCCAGTTTCTCCAAGACGTTTTGCCAATGAACCAGGAAAACAAAACCCTTAGGGGAGGAAGAAGGGTCGGGGGAATATTCTGGAATGTTTGCTCTCTGGATTTCCCTCATCAGGAAAGCTCAGGAAGTCACTTCCTGGGACTGAGGGGGTGGCCAAGGTAAACGCGGTTTGGCGTGACTCAAGTGTTTACAGGATCACTGTAACCGGTCCCCAGGGATTGACGGGGGACGTGGCGCACAGCTCTGCCACCTGGCCCCGGGACCAGGTGTGAGTCCAGTCCCCTCTTTGGGCCTGTGTTCAAAGGCTGGTCTTTTCTGCCACGTACCTGCTATGCAGTGTTAGGCAAATCATTTATTTTTCTGAACCTCAATTTTCTTACCTGTGCACAGGGATAATAATGGCATCTAGATGAGCATCATACCCCTTCCTCCTGGAATTGTTGGGGGGCGAAATGAGATTTTTTAAATGTCAGTAATTTAACCCAGTGCCTAGCACATGCTAAACTCCCAATAAATATCAGCTGTCTATCACTATGTGCAAATTTATCAGTTACTGAGCATGTACTGTCTGCCAGGCTTTGAGCTATGCGTGTGATCAAATTTAAGCTTCATTCCCTCCCTGTGAGCGAGGCTCATTATCAACTCCATTTCACAGACAGGGACACTGAGCCTTCAGGTTTGTCCAAGGTAAAATTGCTAGTAGGGGACACAGCTGGGGTTTGAACATGTCTGACCTTAAAACCTGTTCTCATATTCATTCTGTGTTCTGCTCGCCTGAAAATTGAGTCGGGCCCCCGAATTTGGGGAAACAGCAGTCCGTGTCACTGCCAGCATCTGTCCACACCATCGGGCACCTTTGCCTTTCCTGGAGCCAGCCAGATCAGGTTACACTCTTGGCCTGAGGTGTAGACATGATGCAGATGGTGGCTGTCCCAGGGCCACTGAGGGCCTGGAGAAGCAGAGCCATCATGGGCCAGCCTAGGGCCTTCCTCTCGAACCAGGAGTCCAGCCGGGCACCCGCGGCCCATCAATAGATATGCCCAAAAATAGCTCACTGGGCCCGGCCAGGGCAGGAGGACCAGGACGTTCTGTTCCCGCAGGCTCTGGCCAGAGAGTGACCGTGCATTGGCCTTCCCGGTCAGAGGCTGCCGGAAGACAGGGTAGAGCTCACCCTGCCGGAGGCCTGTGGCAGTCGAGCCGGGCCCCCGGCCACCAGCAGCCCCAGCCTCAGACACTGGCAAGGCGGGTGACTGTAGGTGGAACTGGGCCAACATCTTCGTAGACAGGCTCCCAGGGAGGTAAAGAGTGTGGGTGCTGGGTCTGGCAGGGGTGGCTTCCCATCCCAGCTCGGACAGTTCCTAGCTCTGTGACGTTGGGCAAGTCACTTCTCTTTCAGCCCTGGTTTTCTCACCTGGAGAATGGGGATAAACATTCCATAAGGTGGCTGTGATTCAGTGGGTTTATGTGCACAAGGAACAGCGTGTAGACTTTGCAGGTTTGTTTGCTGACTACTCCTCCCCCTCGCCCCGCCCTGAAATGTGAGCCCCGCCAGGGAGGGCAGGATCTTTGTCCGCTGTTTACTGATGAACCCTGGTGTACGGGGCGGTGCTCAGGCTGTTTGTTGAATGAATGAATGAATGAATGAATGAATGAATGAAAATGCCAGGCTCCTAGCAAGTATTCAAAAACTCCCAGCAATTCTTACTGCTAAGGTGCTTGAAAAGAGAGACTCGAACATGGAATGTGGCTCACAAATGGTATCTGAGATGAGGAAGACGTTCAAGGGAGTCAGGGGAACACAAGGGGGACACACGAAGGGACAGGAGGGCCGTGGAAGGTGGGACATGGGCAGCTGGGCTAACACTGCCTGAAGCTGGAAGGTTTTATGTGAAATCTCCAATTTTTAAATGTCGGCTAATGATTCAAAATTATGAGGAAACACACACACACGAGTGCAGGTCACACAAATGAGTCCCCCGGGCTGTGAGTGTGGGGCTGTCAGCCGACTAGGGGGAGAGCGGAAGGTTTGTCCTTACTTTGGGCAACGGGGCCAGAAAGAACATACTTCGAAGAGTCACCAGAGGAGCTCCCTGCGCCCCCTCTGCCCAGTGGGGACAGCGGGCTTCCACAGGATGAAGGGACAGAGCAAGGACAGGCGGGGGCCAGGCTCAGTTCAGTCCCGGCTCCAGCTCTGATCCCGGTGGCAGGCAGGCTGTGTGGCCTTG